CTGAAGAAAAATGCTGCTGAAGCCACTGAAATGATTTGTGCTGCATATGGAGAGAACGCTGTAAGTCATGCAACATGCAAAAGGTGGTATCAAAAGTTTCGCCAAGGAGATTTCAGTCTTAAAGATGAATCGCGTGCTGGACGCCCTGAAAAGATTGAAACGGACGAATTGCAAGCACTGCTGGATATAAACTCTGCGCAAACTGAAAAGGAGCTTGCAGAACAGCTTGGCGTTACGCAGCAAGCCATTTCCGTACGATTATAATAAATAAAGATTGAATTTTACAAACTAAAGCTCAGAACTTTTTTGTACACCTAATAAATGACACTACATAAAACATAATAGTACTTACATATATAAAACATAAAAACATAATAGTAATACTTATATAAAACGTAAAAACATAATGTGTAAATTATAATGATAATAGTACATAATAGTAACAGGTATGTAGATTGTCTGAGAATATTTAAAAAATGTAAAAAGACATACACGAAGTACAAATTAAGATAATATATAAAGCATAATAATAGTAATACATATACACTGTATGAAAATATAAAAAATGTAAAAACATTATAATAATAGTAATATAAATGTTGATATGTACATATATTACAAAGGTATCCGCCAATGTCCCCACGGTAACGTCTCCGTCGAGTCCGGTACTACGTAACGTTTGTCATCGTATGGACTCAGAGCGATTTTCAGATATCGTGTATACCTCGTGCAGTTTAGATCATATACACGATTGACGACGAGTCATTTTGATCTCTTCGATCAAACACCGCGTGTAATCGTCAAACGTTATCGTTTGCGCTACGACGTTACTCTTTATGGCTTTCACCTTTTTAGTGTCCTTCTTACCGTCCATCCTCACCGCGTACGACGTCTTCGCTCTGAGACCAACAAATTCGGTCATTATCGCACCGTTATTTTCATTCTTTATCAGATCGGGTTTTTGTTCGCGAGAGGCATACCGTACGCATCGCCCGTCGGATAATCGCTCGTGTCGAATCTACCGATATCGCGTTTCAGAGTCTCGTAAACGTCTTCGCACTCGACGACGAGGCGATATACGAGGTCTGTTCAAAAAGTATCGCGAATTTTGTGTGTTTTTTAAATTATTTATTTATTCATGAATATCTATTTTGTCCCCTTCAAAGTAATCCCCATCAGATATTATACACTTGTGCCAACGTTTTTTCCAATCCTCGAAGCACTTCAAAAAATTATTTTTTGTGATCTTGTTCAGCTCCTCCTTCGATGCCGTCTTTATCTCCTCAATCGTAGCGTAGCGTCGTCCTTTCATGGGCCTCTTCAGTTTCGGGAACAAGAAAAAGTCACAGGGGGCCAGATCTGGGGAATACGGTGGCTGCGGCATCATTAGTGTGTTGTTTTTGGTCAAAAATTCGCGCACAAGCAACGATGTGTGAGCAGGGGCGTTATCATGGTGCAAAAGCCAATTTTTGTTCTTCCACAAATCCGGGCGTTTCTGGCGGATTGCTTCGCGCAAATTGCGCATAACTTGCAGGTAATATTCCTTATTGACCGTTCCGATTGGCCAATACTATTTTCTTCACTTCATCAATGTTTTCGTCTGTTGTTGACGTGCTCGGGCGTCCGGCACGCTCTTCGTCGTTCACATCTTCTCGGCCCTCTGAGAACATTTTGTACCACCGATAAACGTTGCTTCGGTCCAAGGTAGCTTCACCATATGCCACAGTCAACATTCGGAATGCGTCCGCGCACTTAATTTTGTTTTTCACACAAAATTTGATACAGATTCTTTGATCCATTTTTTGGAATAGGCAAAAATCGAAGACGAGCCAAAACACGTGCAAGCAAAGCAGCTGTCAAAAATTAACTGAACATTCAAAATGGCCGAACTTGTCGGCATAAGTGAGAGACATGAGTACCAACATAACGCCACAAAAAAATCGAAAATCGAATATACGTAACCCGCGGAAATTCAAAATTCGCGATACTTTTTGAACAGACCTCGTATAAGACTGTCCATATCGGTGTACATAATTATACATTTGTCGCGAAACAGTGATAACATATACTCATGATAAAATTCGTCAAGCAGACTTTCGATATGTCGAGTATACACATAGTATACACCAAGTAAATCAACTTGTTGAACTTCACCTCGAGTTTGCGCAGTTCGACGGCTATTAAATTTTCCGCAAAGACGCTATGGCTGTGGAAATTCGGTTTTGCAATCATTGCTTCCGCGCCGTATCGTCCGTCCCATTTTGTTATAATAATTTTACGTCGACGTGGTTGCGCACATTCTCCATAGTTTTACCGAATACCGCGTTGTTCATTAGTTTATACAAATTTTTCTTGAAATCATTTTTCACGCGCGTTCTGAAATTTGTATTAAGTTCAATGTAATCATGAAGCCATGGAGATTGCGCGAATTGTAGCATCCGATAGATCTTTGTTACGCGAAGACAAGTACATTGCTACAGGTTGCGACAGTGGATGACATAACGCTGTTTATCGTACAACGTCGCTAAAAATTTATGTTCGCACTTGCCGAGCGGCTTATCGCGCGTCGGATAGAATAGTAGGTCAGTGAGTCGGTCGTGTATATGCTGCGGATACTCGAGATCGACTTCGAGAATGTAACCGGTGGGCGAATCCAGAGCGATCGCGCTCGCGTCAAAATTCGCAGCGTCTTCAACCCATTGAAATTTGGCGTATGGTAATAGTTGACACATCGCCCACCCGTATAAATTGTTAACGTCGTAGTACATCAAGTACGACGACGGTTCCGACGGGTCATACGAATGCATGTACTTGTTAGCCTGCGCGTATCTGCCTGAACATTGACTGAGATCACCGCGTATACCGCGCTCGATGAACATGATCATGTCAATATCAATGAGCAACTCAAACTTTACACGCGTATGTTTTAACATCGCATTCCACGTGAAATCAGGCAAAGTGTAATAATGTAGATTCAATGTTAAGTACATATGTATCACTGTACTCGCCGAGCGTTTCGATAGAGAATCGCTGCCATACGTTCGCGGTGTGAGCATAATCGCTCTCGGATACGATATTGCTCGTTAACGAACTGTAAAAAGATTCGCGCGGTGGTAAGCGCGTGTCCTGCAATTTTTTGACACAGACAACGTACTCGTACTTTTACGAGTCAGGAATTCAAATTCATCATCCGATAGTGTTGAAAATTTTGAATGTATAATTTTTAATTTGTCTTTATCGTGATACGACGCTAATTTATCGAGGCTTGTACTGAAAAATTTGAATGAATCAATAAAGCGTAATTTTACGCAATTTTTTGAGAATTATTTTCAGTTTTATCTTTAGTGCTATCGACATATTTTGTGAAGAAAATGTATTTTTTTTTGGTTATCGGTAACACATGTCCTTCATATGCCGTAGCGATTTCCTTAATTATAAAATGCGCGTCGTAGCCCGATAAATTGTGAAAAACGATCGGAATATATAATGAATTTTTATAGTTTAACTTACAATTCGAACGCGCTGGTCCGCGGTATTTACCGGTTAAGTGGCAATGATCGCGTACCCGCGTATCATCCGGCGCGAACGGTTTCTCGCAGATGTGACAACGCGTCGCGCTACGGTACGCCTCCCATTGTTCTTTCGATAACGTTTCGATGGGCACGTTGGCGATATTTTTCACGCGATGCGCCAAATCGTTGAGTTGTCGCGCGAATCACGCTATACAGTCTTCATCGCGACGGAAGTGATACGATGATAACGCGTCATCGTACGAGCAACGCACGTAGTAGCCTATGCTGAATACTTCATGCTGTTGATACGCGTACGACGACATGTATTCCTTGTCGGGTTCCGTCTTCCGTAAAACTCAGGTCGGCGTAGACGACGAATGGGACGCGCTCCTTGTTGCAGTGGTTCCCAAATTCGACCCACTTTTCGTCCTCGCTCGGCAGTGAATAGCGCAATCGTTGATCTTCTGGCAGTCCATTGTGTGCGATTGCATTTTCTCATTCGTGCCAAAGTAATGCAAGCATCTGAAAAAAAACAAAAAAAAAACAAAAAATTATAACAGTTACAATTATTTTATTAGCAAGACGGAAAATTATAATAATTTTTTCATGTGTACTTAGCGTCGCAGAAATATTTTTTGTTCTTTTTCCCACTAATCTGCGAGCTCACGAGACGCGACGGGTTCTTGATCCACGCAAAGTGGCCGACATCATCGTCGCATGGATCTTGCATGTACAGGAGATTGACATGCTTGTTCTTCTTGTCACTGGTGAGTCGTAGAGGAGGACTTGTTTATTCTCGATGACGTATACATTGATCAACACCGCGTTCAACCGTTCAAATTTATTAATGTCTTTGAATGTTATCGGAAATTCGATACCCGCGAGATTTAACACCATTGTATAATGTGGATACGATGACTCTCGATTTACATTTCTTTCAGCCGGGTATAGAGCGGCAACTACCGACCACGCGAAGCACGCAATGTCCATCATACTAACATTGATCACCGCTCGTTTCGTCGCTATTTCTCACGGCACCTCGAAGTAACATCCCGCGTGCATGGAATTTAGTTTGTTCACATTCACTATCAAATTGAGGATTCGCGACAATGCCCACCGGCTGTCGCGTTCCTGGAACTCTTCGAGTAATGTCAACGTGAGCTCGATGACATGCTGCTCGTACCACTCGCGCAAATCGGTGTATCGGTATATCTCGCTGTTCTTAGTGTTTATACTCTTAATGTCACGTTTGTTCTTT